TTAATGTAATAAAATTTCTAGGGTCGTATGTAAAATTATTAAGTTTATGATGGTTCTGGAGAGACGAAACGTTACATATAAAAATTGATTATGCCATTCGATAGAGGGTAAAAAGTGGTCATGAGATAGTGTTCTCCTTTTTTCAATATCACCTCAAACAAGGCAGAAATTAAACAAAAACGGATTTCCAAAATTTCGGTTTTTTTCAAATATTTCGAAAACTAATCATGTTAGCCTTCATTTTTTAGAAGCATAATGTTAGTCCCCTGATTACGCAACTTTGCCCCCATCTAAGCTAGTTTGTATCTCTTACTGTTTTCGAGATCTCTGTTGTGAGAAGTGAATTTGTAACAGCCTGTATGTTATTTCTCCAGGGAAAAATTAAAGGACAATAATATGGGAGAATTCTTGAAAAATTATCGTCATCACTGCTAGTAGTGCTAGATTTTGATATTTGATGGTAAATTTTGTTGTACAGGTTGGGACAAATTGAATATTTCTTGAGTGTTTTTCTTATTTTCCAAAAAGACAGCAAAAGTAAAAAAAAAAGACATCAAAACCTAGTTTTGATGTCGGGGACTTAATTTTCGAGAAAATTTGAATGGCAAAAACTGCATCTCAATGAGTTTGTTTTCAGAAGACAGACAGGGGACTATGTTACCCTGTAATGTTTGTATATGTAAAAATATTAGATTTTTGTAGAAGTTTTTTACATAATTTTTTGTACATACATAAATGTATGTAGTGACATTTTTCTTAAACTTCTGATTTTTCAATTATATAACACAAACATATATTTTTTAATGGAACTCATAATTCTAAATTAGTTTTTTTCTATCTTTTAAAAAAGTAGGAGAAATCCCTCAAGAGTTTGCAAGAAATGGAGGAAACAATGGAGGAAATAATAATTTTTTATTAGACAATAATTTTTTGATTTCAAAATTTTTTGTAAATCTAAATATGAAGTCTTCATAAATGATTACAAGTCACATATTGGCGAGCTTAGGCAACCCAATATTGCACGGCTGGTACTGTCAACTAAAATTAATAGTTCGTTTACAATGAACCGTGACAAACTGTTACATCTCTGCTCGAGATAATGTGATAGCTGACTGGTTGAATAAAATCTCATGGAAAATTACACCAATCATCAGCTGGTGAAACATAATGTTGTGTTTAAATGTAATTTTACTGATAGTTGCCAACATGGAGGAAATAAAATTAGTCCCAAAAAAAATTATTGGTCACATGATTTGTAATTATTTATGTAGGCTCTGTAATATAATAGCACCGACTTTTAAATTTAAGAAAAGCAAGTTTTTTAAAAAATTATTAGACAACAGTTGTTTTGGCATATTCAAGCATATGAAACTATGTGTTTGCTATTTTCCGTTTTATCTTGAATTTTGTTTGAATAATTTCACATATTATTTTAGCAATTGATATTAACACGTTCATCTGGAAGTAAATTTAATTGTAAATTAAATTTTTTTTAAGGTTTGCGAGAATTAAAAAATATCGTTTATTTTTGGATTTTGAGACATCAGCAATTAGGATTTATACCATTATATTTTCATATGTATTAAATAAAACAGCAATGAAAATAATAACGATTTATTGCAAAACATGACTGAAAATATCATTAAAATATTTACAACAAATGTGATAGAAACAAGTTATGACTCATTATCAAACTTCTATATTTAACGATAATATTGCTCCAAACAAGTGAAAATGTGAAAATACATATTTTTTATAAAACTACAAATTCTTCAGTAAAAATTTACTGAAATATCAAAATAGAAATTAATACTATAATTTTATTTCTTCACTAATATTAGAGTAGGTGCGTCAATGCTTAAACAATACAAATAAAATTATGGTTAATAATTCTTTAAGGCACAGTCGGTGACCAACACAAACGTAATTTGTGGACAAAACTTAAGTAATCAACTAAATCGTAACAGAAATAATATCTTAAACAATATCACCTAACAAAAACATAATACTACACGCCTGCCAAAAACTTCCTGAAAAATTTGCCATATTAATGAATTTTTGAGAACTACAAGCTTATTAGGGAACTATAAGAAATAAACAAAAAAAATGACCTTTTTAGATATCAGAGGCTATAATTTTTAAGGAAGGATGGCAGAAAAAATATATGAAAAAGCACCAGAAAGGACATTTATTGCTTTACGTCAATAATAATGATTAACTAATTAATATACACACAACAAAACAAAGTAGATTTTTCAAATAAAATATCTTTCGGTCAAAAATCATACCATTAAACTTCATTCAAGAACAAAATGATATAAAATTGTGTGGAAAAGCATTAGTAAGATTGATCGGTTATATAATATATAACTATATATAACACTATAATATATCATAAAACAAGCCTCTATTGATTTGATACAGTTAATAGAATCAATGAAACTCGAGAAGCTATGAATTAAGTATTTAAGAACTTAGAAAATGAAGATTTTAAAATTCAAGGCAATTATCGGAAGTCAATAGAACTGAATAGAGTAAGTAGGTAAGGAAATGCCAGTAAGGATAAACAATGGGCATTTTTCAATAACTTTTTAGCAGCTGAAAATGTTAGTTTTGGAAATGACCTATCAGGGAGAAAATCAATGTGTGACAGAATACGACTAATTTAAAAATAAGATTTTTACCGTAGAAAAATTTTTGTGCGAATTTTATATTATTTATATTAAGAACAAAACCTCATCATTTAGTATAGACCTAACAAGAATTTCTGTACTTTTGCCTAAAAATAAAGCAATCTCCTAACTCGACCATCAATAATTTTTTTATTGCGACAAGCACTATTTGTTTTATGTTTCAAAAACCAACGCATAAGTTTGAAGGATTCAAAGCTTTAGCGGTGGAGAAATGCATTATGCTACCAGTGAAATTAAAAATCTTTCTGTGCAAAACCAGCTTCTGTCTGCACGGAACCAGTAAGTTATGAAAAATGCCCAAAGTGAAGGAAAGGTAAGTAAAATAAAGTGGAATGTGGAGACGAGTGAATACAATGAAGATTTTGCGGTTTTATCTTAACCCAACTCTCTTTTGGCATTTGTAACACCATGAAAAGTAAAAAAAACAGCAAAAGCACTCAAAACATCCACATTGGAAACAGATACTAAAGATTAAGATCAAATTCAAAACAAACAAACATTTTAAACAAAATCATGAGTCCAGAATAAATTAAAACTTATTAGGAAATATTAAGAAATTAAATAACAAGTTTTATTATTTTTACCTTCATAGAAATTGAAAGCTATTATTTTTATGGACGACATTTTTTTTTTGTTTTTATCGCTTCGTCAATAATAGTAGATAACTAAACTAAAAGATAATTTTCAAAGAAAATATTTTTAAATCAAAGATCAATAACAATGAACTCAGGTACCGAAGAACAAATTGAAATAAAATTGATGGAAAGACAATAATAATGTATATATAATACAAAACAAGGTCTGTATTGATTTGACAATCAACAAAACCAATGGAATTGAAGTAATAAAAAATATCAAGAAATCGAAAGGTGCACATTTTAAAATTTAAAACGACAAACTCTTACTGGAACTCGATGGAACCAGAGCAAGTAGACAAAGTGTACTTAGTAAGAATAAACAGTTTTTTCTTTATTTAGAAAAACTTTTACGGTACAAGTACACACATTTTAACGTGAATTTTTGTATATTTGTACCAAGAACAAAACCTTGTCTCTTAACATCATCCTAACAAGAATTTCTTCTCCAATGCTCCAAAAATCAATGTTGTAATTCAAAAGATTCAGCATTTTACCTGCGATGAAACCACTACAAACACATTATTCCTGTCACCAATGAAATTAAAAACAATTTGATGGAAAACCAGTGTCTATCAACACATAGACTCTGTGGAATTTGTAACACCAAGAAAAGCTAATAGATTAGAAGAACTCGGTTAAACCATCGAGACTCACAACAGACATGAAAAATGAAGATTGAATTCAAAAGATGGGCAGAATTATGAATCGAGAAGAAATTGAAGTAACACAATATAATGCTAAACTAATATACAGGGTGTCCCAAAATATGTGGGCAAACTCTCGGATTTACGGATTTATACAGGGGACGTTAAAATAACATGACAAGTGCCCATAAAAATTCCTCCCCCAAATATGTAAGTTTATCATATTTTAAGAGTCCCCGCAAAAAGTCAGCTCAAAAAACATTTTTTTAGAAGTCGCTCAAGATTTTTAAAAATTTCCAAAATCGTCACAAATTGAATTTTTGTTTTTCGTTATTTTATCATTTTCTGGGTTGAAAAAAATCTGAAAATTTCAAATCGATATTTTCATTTCTAAAGGTCACTCATAATTATTTTAACTTTCAAAGTAGTGCACCTAAAATGTTTACGAGCGACCTAAAAATAAATTTCAACCAAACTAATAATTTTTTTTATTGAATTTGATGAACAAAAGAATAGAAATAAATCACGACACTTAAATTTAAAAAAATTTAAAAATTATAAATATTTGACACTCACAGTGCGTTAGTAATTTATGTCTCGAGAAATTTTTTAAGTGTCTCGTGATTTATTTCTATTCCTTTGTTCATCAAATTCAATAAAAAATTATTAGTTCATTGATATTTATTTTTAGAGGGCGCTCTAAAACATTTTAGGTACGCCACTTTGAAAGTTAAAATAATTATGAGCGACGTTTAGAAATTAAAATATCGATTTGAAATTTTCAGAATTGAGATTTTTTTCAACCTAGAAAGTGATAAAATAACGAGAAAATAAAAAAAAATAATTCAATTTTAGACGATTTTGGAAATTTTTGAAAATCTTGAGCAACCTCTAAAATTTTTTTTTGAGCTGATTTTTTGAGGGGGCTCTTAAAACATGATAAACTAACATATTTTCACAAGAGACATGAAAAAAAATATTCGTTTTTTTTTTGGGCCATCCTAATCTACACACATTGTCTGATTTTAAAAATATTTAAAAAACCGCAAATTTAAATAATTGTTTACAAAACTATATAATAAAAATGTATATCTACAACCGTACCACTCGATTCTGCCCGTCACTACCGAAAATACCAGTTTTGAATTGATTTATAATTATCAGGAAAATCGGTTCTTGATACAATATGGTAAATTTAAAAATAAGCTTTAACTGAAGAAGTAGGAATTTTTGTATGAATTTTAATTTATATACATGAACTGTATTTTTTCTTAAATAAAATAAAATCCCGACTCACTAATAATTTTTGTTTCAAATAATAATTGTCAAATATTCCAAAAACCAATGTTTTAAATTTGAAGGATTCAATTGTTTAATAACGGTGAATTCATCACAAATATGTACATCTTTGTCACCAATCACATTAGGGTGCAAAACTGGTCTTTATCGGTGCATTGACCAGCAAGTTTTGAAAAACGAGACTGAAGAAAGAAAGCAAGGAAGAGAAAATCTAGAGGATATGGAGATGAGTAAATACAATGATGATTTTGCAGAATCCTCCGAACCCGACTCGTTTTTTGAGTTTTTAACACCAAGTCAATAAATTCCTAGAACCCATTCAAACTGTCAAGATTGAAAATACATACATAATATTAAGAGAACATTCAGAACATCAGTAAAATTATATGTCAAGAAACATAAGCAGATAATAATAAAACTAACATCAAGAAATTGCCCTACTGCATTGCACTTATTTGAAACAACAACCTCTCAAAAGCTTCATTACCGTACACAGCCCTCCACATGTGACTTACCACAAACAAGTCTATGTAAGAGCTGCAATAAAACTGAGCTTCCTCGCAAATATCCAATACCTGTTTCCAAATAGTTTCCATATTGGTGAAGACATTCTGGTGATCATTGTTGTGCTTTGCCAAAACATCTACGCTGACGATAGTAGGGTAAATCGTTGCCAAGGACTGAAAGTCACTGTGAGAGCACAACGTTGATCTTACAGGGGTTACTATTATAGATCCCGGACGAACTACTGCTCGGATTGTCCGTAATATGCGCTGCTTCAAAGAATTTATATGTTCGGTATCGTGATAAGCGAAACGGTCTAGAGCTTCAAGCCAGTACTTTTGAGGGATGCTCTGAAAGGAGATAAAATAACTTGATTAGTAAAATTAGATTTTTCATATCATGTGTCATTTTACCTTTACTTCCGAAATGCACAGAATGGGTCTGGTCATTCTTATCATATTGGTATTTGTACAGCCTTCAGGGTAGGTGTCGACGATGACTATAACGCCAGGTCCACCAATTTGCCAGTCTCCGATATTTGACTTCATACATTTCTCGGCAAGACTAGCTGCTCTTATATAGAGTTCTTCTATTACAGAATTATTAAGACCTAGAATATTGAAAAAATTAATGTATACTTTAATTTATGGCAAAACATCAAAACCAAAATATAATTACTTATTAGGTACTATGCAGGAAATAGATTAACAACATAAATTACAATGCATATCATACCTCTTGTAAACCATATCCACAGACTTGCAGAAAAACATTAGTATTTGTTAATATTAGTAAGCATAGATAGATAATTTTAATACTACGAAATTAGTAACGAAGTTTTAAGAGTAAGACAAGAATATCACTTACTTAACATATTTGCTACATCGTCGACATGGTACCCCTTGCACCATGCCAGTATTATCCTTATTGCATCCTTAAAGTTACATCTGAGGCCATTAAATATCGAATCGTCTCTAATAGACTTTTTCTTCGAGCACATTTTGCACTTCCACTGTAAGAAATCTGGTCCTTTTGAGTCTATCAAACTCATAGGACTGTTGCACACACCACTAGCCATCTTCTTCGAACAAGTCTGTTTTGATTTTATAAGGTGAATAGTCTTCAACCAACAGATTAGATATTTTTCGGAGCCCGAGACCAGCAATGGATAGATGATTTGATGGTAATAGCCACAATCGCTAGGATTGAATAAAAAAATCAGTAAATAGTAAATTTGGATGCAGTATCATGCGGGCGGAATTGCCTAAGTACCCGCATAAGGGCTATCAAATCAATTTGGGGTGAATTTACATTGATTTTTCTTAGGAAACTTAGGAGATATTGTAAGAATAGGAAAACGAAGGATTTATTTAATAAAATGAAATATTTCCTTAGCTTTGAGAATGAGTAGTAAATTTATTCAAATGGTTAAAAGAAGCAACAGTTTGAGTGCAACAAGTGAATCCGTTTCCTAAGTTAACTTACCTATCAAATAAAGAGTTCTTCCCATTTTTATCGTTGCAGTCCTCGTCGATATTTCCTGCAGTCGGCCTGCCAGATCTCCTTCGGATTTTCATTTTGCTTTATGGCAGTTCATCAAACATGGTTATATTTAATTTTGTAAATAAAATAATAATTTGGATTTGGTATTTGGTTTGGAAGCTACACATTTACGCAAACGTCAAAAAAGATCAATAATACAAGCGCATGCGCCATGAGCCTGTAAGTTAATACAGAACCGTACCTGCAAAATTATTGATTTTGAGATACCTATTTTTAGGCAGTAAAAATTTGCATTCCAATCTTACCCCATTATCAACTTGTGACGTACTACTAGACCATCATCTTGTGTTAAATCTCAGCATTCGTTTTCATTCAAAACAGACTAGCTAATTAGCAGAGCTGGGTAATTACTTGTAATTTAAAAATAGTTACAATTACAAATTACTTTTTTAAAAAAAGGAACTAATTACAATTACAAAGTATATTCTTTAAAAAAGGAATTATATTAATTTAATTACAATTACATGGAAAATGGATTTAGCAATTACTTTTCTAATTACTTTTATGATAAAGTAAATTATAGTGACCAAACAGAGAAAAAGGAAAAAGTTAAGTTAAAAATTTAAATTAAAAGTGTTGTGTAATATTGCGTTTTATTATTTATTAGAATTGATACTAAAATGAAAAGATTATTCTTATTCATTTTCTAATATAGAATTTTTATATTTTTATTCCTAATCTAATAATTTAAACTAGTTCAGTTCATACTATAATTTTATATTATTGGTCAGGTAATTAATTCAACCCGATGCTCTTTTTTTTGNTATTTACTTTGTATTTTTTGCAAAGTTAATCCATTATCAATTTTTTTTATTTACAACTTATACCTATCCAAACCTCTAAAAAAACGAAGTAGTGACTAGGTACGATGGTACGAAACAGAAAATAAATAAACAAAGATAGAAATATTAACTTAATATCCAAACCAACCCACAAGTCCGGTTTGATGGTTAGGCAAACTCTGCCAAACCGGGTTAACTACATTTCTCGCCAAAACGTCAAACCACAACAAACTATAGTTAACCGGGTTAGCGGTTTTCTCGCCAAAAAACCCTTATTATTATTAGATAAAAGCAGAAAAACACTGGTATCAGATTTTACTTAAATCTCCTATACAGCTGGCCCGCCAAATTTGTTTCATTTTCTAAATTGCCAGTGGTTTAAAATAAAAATAAATACACTGGTTAAATTTTTGTCATATTAGAACATTTTATAGTAACATCAGAAAAGCTGATAAACTCATTCCTTGTAATATATGAAGATACAAAGATACGGCAGTTTAGTTATGATTTGTTAACGTTTTTCTTGAAATATCAAATTTTACACACACTGAAACATGATGTTTATCACTTATTGATTTTGTTCCTGAAGAAATTTGCTACAAGGATAGGCTTTCGCGAAAGCTCGCAAATTTTATTTTACATTGCAAAATTAGCGGTGAAAAAAAATGCGCAAAATTTTCAGCATTAAATAAAAAGAACGAATTTGACTAAAATCGGATGAAACTACAGGAAAAAATAACTGTTGGGGTGCTCAACAAATACCCGCAATCCGGACCCCCAATTTCAAAATGGCGGCCTATTGCAAAATTATAAAGTCGAAATCGCGAGCGCATATATCTTCTGCCTAAGTCAAGGTATAAAATTTGGTGAAAAAGGATCGGAAAGACATTATCTCGCATTTGTGTAAATTTCAGATTTTTAAGTTGCAATATTTATATTGCAACTTAAAAATTATTAAAAAGTTAAAAGTTATTAAGAAAAAACCAAAAAAAAAACGGTAACTAGGGTCCTTATCTCGGCAAATTTTTAATATACAGATTTCAAACCAATTGCATCAGAGTTCTTAAAAAAACATGAATTAAGAAAAAAATCGTCTCGATCCGACCAATAAGAGCCGAAATAATTTTTTTCTTTTTAAACGGTATTCTGGCTGTTCTATTTAATATTTTGTAATAAACTTGGTCTCATTATAAATTGGAAGACTACCTTTATACGTTGAATTTTTTTTTTAATGAAAGGTAGGCCCGATTTCTAAAAAAAAACTTATATCGCCCGGACTATTGAGTCATAGCAGCAGTACGTTGACAACTTGATTTATTATGAGTGATTGAGTGATTTGTTCGATTAACCTCGTGTCCTCGAAAGGCATTCTTAAGCCTAGTGCAGACCTACATACACTACCCACAAACCAATGTTTGGAAACATTTCCCTGCAAACAAAACATTTATATACACTTGTGTATTGTGTTTTGTTTCCATAAACATTTGATAGCAATTGTGTCCAGACTAAAGACAAAAACATGTGTTTACTGAAAAAACATGACTGAGGCAGTAGCGGCCATTTGTGCTGGATATATAATATATTTCACATTTTATATAGCTCTATATCTATAAACACAATAAACAATGAACCACGAAATTTAGCGCTACCGCTACCACTGATACAATTGCTTACAACACACTAAACAAACATTTGCTTCAGAAAACGCGTCCAGACTTGCTTCTTGGCGAGTATAAAAACACGCGGTTCCCATTTTGACGGGAAAACAAAAAACATTTAATCATTTGTTTAAATGTTTTTAACAAATGTTTGCAAACACATTTTAAACAACTTTTACACAGTTTTTATACAAATATTTAAATGTTGGCGAGCAAATGTATGTAGGTCTGGACTAGGCTTTACAAGAGAACAAAATTTCATTATTCTACCAATTAACTGAACCAAATTGAACAAGTGCCGCCCCTGTGCATATGTCTTATTGGCTGCACAAAGTACTTCAATTAATTCATTTATNAAAAAAAAAAACGGTAACTAGGGTCCTTATCTCGGCAAATTTTTAATATACAGATTTCAAACCAATTGCATCAAAGAGTTCTTAAAAAAACATGAATTAAGAAAAAAAAATCGTCTCGATCCGACCAATAAGAGCCGAAATAATTTTTTTCTTTTTAAACGGTATTCTGGCTGTTCTATTTAATACTTTGTAATAAACTTGGTCTCGTTATAAAGTAGAAGACTACCTTTATACGTTGATTTTTTTTTGAATGAAAGGTAGGCCCGATTTCTGAAAAAAAACTTAATTCGCCCGGACTATTGAGTCATAACAGCAGTACGTTGACAACTTGATTTATTATGAGTGATTGAGTGATTTGTTCGATTGTTGTTTGGAAACATTTGCCTGCAAACAAAACATTTATATACACTTGTGTATTGTGTTTTGTTTCCATAAACATTTGATAGCAATTGAGTCCAGACTAAAGACAAAAACATGTGTTTACTGAAAAAACATGAATAGTGAGGCAGTAGCGGCCATTTGTGCTGGATATATAATATATTTCACATGTTATATAGCCCTATATCTATAAACACAATAAACAATGAACCAAGAAAAACGCTACCACTGATACAATTGCTTACAACACACTAAACAAACATTTGCTTCAGAAAACGCGTCCAGACTTGCTTCTTGGCTAGTATAAAAACACGCGTTTCCCATTTTGACGGGAAAACAAAAAACATTTAATCATTTGTTTAAATGTTTTTTTACAGTTTTTATACAAATGTTTAAATGTTGGCGAGCAAATGTATGTAGGTCTGGACTAGGCTTTACAAGAGAACAAAATTTCATTATTCTACCAATTAACTGAACCAAATTGAACAAGTGCCGCCCCTGTGCATATGTCTTATTGGCTGCACAAAGTACTTCAATTAATTCATTTATTTAAACTTTAAATGTTAATTCAAATTATATCCACCAGATGACGATGTCGGCTGCATTTATAGTAAAGTACCCAGTGAGCCAGCTAATAAGAATATGTTACAGATGACAGAACGACAGAGCGACATCCCAAATGAAACACGTGGTTTGATCAATGCGGACGCAAAGCTGCGTTCCCAGCGCGTGCGCCAAAAGTCCTTTCAGAGGGGTCTCGCGCCGGCTGCTCTTCCCTTCCACCTAGCCCCCAACTGGAGCTGGAGGAAACAATAACAACCGGCCAAAACACTCTATATACTACCGTATTCGTTGAATGTGTCGTTAAATTTAACGTTCGCGTGTCTGTACGTCGACTCCGGCTCCTTTTCCAATCCATACTGTGTGTGTCTCGGTTATGACTGACTTTTTTACCGAAGTGCCCTGAATTTGTGTTTTCCGCGAATCCAGCTATTGGACGGAAGGATCTTTCGTTAATGGTAAGTTTTACTATCAATTTCTAATCACTACCCCCTGGAAAGATTTACTTGTGCAAGGTTTGAATGTTGTTTTTTTTTGCAAGGGGTCCCTCTAATTCAATCCGAATTTTTCAGTGTTCATTTATTATTGCAGTTTTAATTTAATTGTTAATTTAGTGTCCCCTTTACACTGCATGGGACAATGCAAATCTGTAAAGTCGTTTAAGCGTTGAAAAATTATGACTAAAATATAAATATATAACATTAGCTCTGCTTAGCATTTTTTTACTTACTAATATTTAAGGATAAAAGTAGATAAACCATATATACAGTTAATACATATTGGTACGTTTGTAAATAATGAGAGTGGGCCTATTTTGAATTTTACCTGGTCTATTCATATTTTACTATTCATTCGTTACACAATCTGTGTTTGTCGTACAGAGAACTATCTATATATTTAGATCAGTTTTTAAATTGTCTTGAGAACTGTAGTCTCCATTAACTGATAAATGTCTGACAGTGCTGCTAACTAACTACTAATATTTAATGATGATTAGGTGTTAAAAGGTCTTCTTCATGTATGTTTACGCCTGTATTTCATCCGTTCCAATTAAAATAAAACGTATTGATTAACCAAGAGGTTGTGGTTTAGTATTCTATGAAGCTAAGGAGATAAAACGGCGTTATCATTTTTAGTTTGCATTCCCAGCCGAGTTTTTAATCATAATCCACAATGAAAATAATTCCAGCCCAGGAAGGAGACTAATGAAAACCGCGACAATTTGTTTGCTGATTGTTTTCTCATTTTTGTTTTGGTCTTTATTTTGTAGGCATTTTCCGTCTGTTTAATGTTTTTAAATGCTTTTACAAAATTTTTGTACGTTTATATTTTCGTCGTCTCAAACTGATATTCGAAGACATTAAACTAGAAAATAAAATCGTTTGATTTCTACTGTGATATTATTTGGCATAACTTAAATCAGTTATTTAAAAAATGCAGATATGAATGTTAATAAATTTCGTTAAATGCGCACCAGAATGTTAAAGCAGCTGTAAATCTAAAAAATATTACAAATTCATAAATGCACATTTTGATTATTTTCTTATTGAAAAATCTTCAGTAATAAAACCTGTTTACATGTAAATATTTTTGGTCCATAGTTATATAAAGCTGTTAACTTTTAGAATATAATTAAATCATGGTAAAGGATGGTAGTAACAAACCATGTATTTTAGTAGGTATATATATATATCCCAAAATAATGTGTGTCTGCATGTGTACAGGGTGTTTCTAAAATAGGGTTCCAAACTTCTGCTGCGTTTATAACTCATTAAAATAAGCCAAAAAGTTCCTATTAACATGTGCCCTAAAACGCACCCTTAGGAAGTTATATGCCCTTAAAAGGGCTCAAACAAAACTGTTTTTTTTCTGTTATTGGCAAAACGGTCGCAAATAAATAGAAAAAAATGTATGGGTCTTACATAACTTTTTACGTTAAATAACATGGGACTCCGTTTTTCGACATGCAAATCATATGCGTCCCAATTAAGTTGGTGAAGGGAGTTTTCGGCCCGTAATTTTTATTTAAATTTTTTTACAATTTTCTCTACAGATTTATAAAATCTTAACAATTTTACGTAAAAAATATTATCTTTGTCCAAATCGATATTTCCAATGGTTTTCAAGTAAATTGAGTTTGAAAATTACTCTGCTCTTTAAGTTGTTAAAAAGGCAAAAAATTACAAAAATCTGTTTACCATGGCAAATAAAAGACTGACGTTGCCACAACGCTTAACAATTTAAGTGATTGATAAACAGTCAATTGAGCTTTGCAGTGTTTAATTAGTAAAAGTGGTGAGTGGAAAATTTAAGTATAAAAAAAACAGTTTTGTTTGAGCCCTTTTAAGGGCATATAACTTCCTAAGGGTGCGTTTTAGGGCACATGTTAATAGGAACTTTTTGGCATATTTTAATGAGTTATAAACGCAGCAGAAGTTTGGAACCCTATTTTAGAAACACCCTGTATGTAACCAACATTTTAAATGTTTAAAGTAAATGCAAAATTGTACAATGCAGCAAAATTTTTTAATGGAAGCAGTACCATTGTTCCCAATCTATCGATCAGTTTAATCAAGCCTAAGACCTTCACCGATTGTTGACCCCTGTTTTCTTCTTAATTTTTCGAGGTATAAAATAGGATTAATAATAAAAATTAGGTACGTAAAGTATGTTAATTTTTCTGCTGATGTTGCGAAAATATTAACCATTAATTTACGGAGATAAACGTCTAGGAAGGATTTCTTAATAGAACCCACTCTATATTTTTACATATTTAGATATAACGTTTCGTCATGACTACAATGATATACTCGATGATATAGGATATAGGGCTTTATGAGTCTATCTCTAAATTAAGAGAAATAAACCAAAACATAATAATGTGTTGGACAATGAAGTAGAGAGGTGGAACAATGCTATCTATATCTATGAATGGTCACTGTTACTTAGTGCCTAGACCAGGGGTCGGCAAGTAATTTTAGGTGGAGTCCGGATACTTTTGAAAATGTTTAACGAGGTCCAGAAAAAACTCATATTCCTTACTAATTTTTTATTTTAATTTGTACTCACAAAATAAAATATGAAATACATTAGATAGGCATATTTATATTAAAAAATCAATGGGAGAAATTCCATTTGCGGGCTCGAGCCAGTTTTTTTAAGTAACCTACTACTACTATCTACAGAAAAATATGTTTTAAATATTTTGAGTAATTATAATTAAAAAAAAAATATTTGGCGGTCCAGTTCTTTACCTTCCGCGGTCCGGATCTGGACCGCGGTTCGCCAATTGCCGATCGCTGGCTTAGACCTTCAACCTTCAAAGATCCGAGCAGGCAGAGAGTAACCTCCATTCCGTTATTTTGCGGACCAGCATATAATTGTAATATTTGAGGGCCTATGTCTACTCAATAGTTATTTCAGAGATTGAGTTATTCATTGTTACATCTCACCTATATTTATTCCATGTCTATAGTTAAGACACCAAAAATAGCGGTAGTCAGTCACACCTACAGCATACTGATGATAATTATTAAGTTGGAAACCGGTATATGTCTGATGGATTATGTTGACGATTGATCCTAGCCTCGATCCTCGATCCTAGTTGTCTACTAGATTAGATATTAGAGTGGTTGTTTCATGTTAATTATCAGTTTAAAAACTTGGTTGTCTAGCGTGATGTGAAAATACATACACAGTAGGGTCACAACGCGCTTGCGATGACGTCACTTGAGCACACGACTGACAAATTATGGCGTATACTGCCTTCAACATCAATCATTTTATTTTGCAGAATAGGTCACGCTTCTTCAAACTTCACACTTGACACAATATTTAGGGTTACGACATGTTTAGACTCTACATACTTAAAGTGACTTTTTAAACATTAATAACTTTGTATATGTGGACATTTCAGGTTTCAACTTAAATTGTCCGTTTGTATATCATTTTTTATAGCTGCTGTGATGTCAATAAAATACTAATTTGATGTGTGAAATTTTGTACCTTCGATAAAAATTGTCCAAGAAGCTGGTACTAATTTATTGACCGGTTTTGGAAATTTTTAGTTACTTCAGTACTATCAATTTCAATTACATTGTGTTATGTTTACATGATGATTTAGGTTACATATAAGTGTTTGTTGTTGGGATTACGTAAGAATGGCACGATTATAACTTTATTAAGGTTTGTGGTTTTCTGTTATCATGACTGAGTTTTGTTCTAAAAATAGGCAGCCTTAAACGTGAAATTGACCAATTTACTGCAACGTAAAAAAGGTGCCGTGAATATAGAAAATTGTAATAATTTTTTGACAAATTTCTTGAACAATTTATTGGATCAAAAACTGATAAATGTAAAACGGGTTTAAGACATGCGAGATCTGTTCATAAAATAACCGAACTTTTTGGGGTTGGCAGCAATGCGTTGCGCATAACCTCGTCTGTAACTACATGTTCTTTGATTGTTGATATTATGGAGTGTATATAGGTACTCCATAGTTGATATATCAATTATATCATTTAGTTTTCGTGATATTGTTATTTGAGTGCAACAGGTTTAAGTGTTAGTGATAATTTTTGATTATATTGCGATTTCCTGGAACAACGCAACGTAAAATTTTGGGTGAAACTAGAGAAAACTTTCACGGAAATGTTTCAAACTTTTCATCAAGCTTACCGAGATGATGCTTTGGGTCGTACGCAATATTACGAATGGTTTTCACGATTTAGAAGTGGTCGTCAGTCAATTAACGATCCTCGACCAGGAAGAACTACGACTTCAACTGCTGACAGGCGTTTTACAACGATTACGTGAAAAAATCCGCAGAGTTGTGACTTAACTATATCAGTTCGTCAATTTTGTGCCAAAAATCAGATTACTGTTCTCCCCCATCCTCCTTATTCACCAGATCTGGCTCCTTGCGATTATATCCTATTTCCAAAATTAAAATCAATGCTGAAAGGACGCCGGTTTCAGATTATTGAAAACATACATCATAGTAAATTCATCTCAGACTTTAAAAGCCATTTCAAATGAAGCTATCCAAGACTGCTTCGTGAAATGAAAACACCGCTGGAAAAAGTGTGTGAATGGGGGAGGGGAGTACTTTGAGGGAGACAAGGACCAATAATGTATAAAATTAATAATAAAGTTTAAAAAAATTAAGTTCGGTTATTTTCTAAATAGACTTCTTACGTTTTTTGGTTTTCCTATCGGTAATGCCTTCGGAATAGGAAGTATGTATGTACTAGAAAAATACAAGGTAATCCAGTAAATTGGCGCCTTGTATGTACTGAATTCATAACATATTTTCTTAGTTTTATGAACAATGCACGTTTGGTAAGAGAATAGCCACTTCATTAAAATGAACAAAGGTACTATTATTATACCATAACTTACGAGAGCTCTTCGGGAGCACTACTAGCAATGTGTGTCATGACATGACAGTGTGTTTTCT